GGCGGTTTTCGTAGCCCGGCCTGCCAGCCCCGCTTTCCTCACGCACGCTCCTGGCTGGGCAAGGTCGCCGGGCTCCTCTGGGCATTGGTTTTCTCCTCTGCAAAGTGGGGACTGTAACAGCCGGTGTAGTGCAGCTGTGAGGAGGCCGTGTGGCTGCCGCGCGGCGCGGCGGCTGCCCAGTGACGGAATTCTCACCCTCTTCCCTAGTCTCTGCTCTTTCGCCTCCTCTTCTGGTTCCCGGCTCCCGGCACGGTGGGCCCACCCCGCACTCCCTAGGACCCACTCTGATCCCTAGTCCCAGCGTCACATAATTTAGGGGTACGGAGAGGAAATACAGGTCCTTCCAATGATTGCATCTTTTTGCATTACACTTTTTGTTCGTATCTTTTTAACAGTACCTAGATAAGGGTATTACAACAGTTGCACCTTGAGGTAGATTATGTTTTTACCTCCTTTCTATTAGTCTATCTGTCTCCTATCCGAAGACCCAGATCCTAATCCCAGATCCTCCAGTTGTTTGACAACAGAAAAGTCCCCAATGTCTGGGCTGTTGTCACCCCACGTTAATGTTAATACCCTGCTGGAGGAAGCCAGCCATAGTCAGCAAATTGTCTAGATTGCCGATTAATGCAGTTATAAATGCAAAGCGGGATTACTGTCAATAGGTTTTGACCTGGTGTTACCGACAGAAATTGTTTTTTCCCCCCAATATAATGGGTGCTGTTGTGCAAATTCAGGTTTCCAGCGTACTCTGCAGCTCCTCAGGCATGTTTCTTGCTTACTGAGAGGTCTCTGATTCTTGAAAAAGTAGGGGTCTTCTCCATCCTGCAGCTTAGTTGAATCAATCAGTGTATGGACCCCTCACTCCCACCCTAGCTCCAGATCCAAATCCTACTTCAGTGGAGCTTTCTTGTAACCCTTATATCCCTCCTCCATTTATTTGACCAGATCATATTGCAAACCTGAAAGGAGTCTTGCTGGGTGTTTCTTTCTTAGTAATTCTCTGCAAATGGGATCTTGTTACCTCTTTGTAAGGAATATGAGGCTCTCTGACTTGAGTAGCTTGCCCAAAACAATAGAAAGGGCCCACCCAGATTTGTTATTTTACTTTGGTTCAGGCATCTCCTGACAGAAGTTAACCTGAGTCGATTTAATTATTTCTGATTATTAACTGTTGTACTGACCAGAATCTTTTAATATCTGTCCCCTAGCTTTTCAGGAAAAAAAGAAAGGGGGAAAACCAATAATGTTTTCTTTTGTATGTGTGTGGGGGGGGATGGAAGCCAGGGCCTCTGGCTTGCCCAAGTGCTTCACCACCAGCTTTCTTAATTAGAAATTGATGACCTTAGTTTTGATTTTATTGTTTAGACTATTGTTACATATTTGGAGTCTGAACTTTTTACCACATCACAACAAAGGATGTATTCCAGCTTTCCTTAAAGTAAGGTTCCTGGAGCTGGTAGCTCAGTAATATAATCTGTGGACTCGAGTAGAGAGGAGCTCAAACCTCCTTTACCATGTAGGTCTTCTTCTCTGAATGTAACCAGATTGTAATTACTTTTTTTTTTTCTTTTTGGTGGTGGTGCTGGGGATTGAACCCAGAGCCTTGTGCATGCAATATCCCCAGCCCCAAGGTTGTAATTATTTTTAGGGGAAGAAGATATGAAATTGTAGGATCCTACTGACATGTAAAACTCTAAGATGATTTCTCAAGAACTGCAGTCCTGATTGTGATAAACAATCAGGTTTCAGATTTTGGTTTTCTAGATACCATATTTGATTTTGACCATAGTCTATATAAATTACCTTTTAGCCCTTTCTTAACTGCTGTCTGAACCATTTATTTGGCTTTCGTATTTTAGATCCATGAATTAAACAAATGTTTGTTTTCTGCCACTGCCGGATGCTGGAGATAGAAAGATGGCTTCAGATTCCTACTGTAAGGAATGGGTCTAGTTCAGAGTGTGAAGAAATTCCTCGGCAGCAGTTTAGTGAGCTAACCAAGGAACTACACAGTCTGGACAGCCTCGTGTCCCGATTGTCGGCATGAGCTTATGGAGCACTGATTTTTCAGTGCTTGGCTCAAATCCAGCTTTGATCTGGGAATGGCAATCTCTTGGAAATAGGTTGCAAAAGATTTGCCTTATGCATAGTCTCAGAGGGCAGGGTGGTTGGCCAGCTCCCGCTCAGGAAGTAAGGAAGTAAAAGCACTAGACGAAGATGCATTAGGTTTTCCATTTGCTGGCTTAGAAAGGAGTCAGTCAGGAAGCAGTCCAGGGATCGTGGTAACATTGTTTCTTCTTTGCCATAATTATTTTTCTTATTCTTCCTGGTTTCTACTAGTGATCAGCAGCAAAACCCCTAAAAAGAAAGGAACTTAAATGCTTTGGGGGTGACAAAAATGAGAGATGTTGGGTGACTGCCCTTCTTCTGCCAAGAAGACCCCAGCAGCTGTCACTGGGATTGGAAGCTAAGAAGAGTGCAGTTTGTATCCCTGCATTGTGCCCTGAGGATTTAGAAGATATCCTGGGCCTAAGCCTAGAAAGACCCATGAGATGTTCTTGATTGGGTGGCCGAAAACTGGCCATGACAATACATATCAGGGACAAGTGTAAACGTGTTTATATGGGGAAGTTCAGAAGAGGGGAGACTGACGTTGCCTCTGATGGGAGATATTTCCAGGAGAAAGTGAGTCCTGAAGGATAGTTAATTAAGGGAGGAGTCAAGACCACATGCTGATCATGACAGGTGATATTAGAGAACTGCAATTAAATTGAGGCAACTAAGTGAGAGGAGTGTGTTGAGGCAGGAAATGCTGTTGAAAGAGGGCATAATGGGGGCCTTAGCACTATGCTGGGACATGAATATCTGTGTACCATATCTCCTCAGTTAGGTCCTGATAGACTAGATGCTTAGTAAATGTTTGTAAATTTGGATCCACAGAGCTTGTGTACTAGGTAGACTCCTTTTGAAAAGGAAAATAAGCACAAGTTTAATCGAGGGTAGGAAGTATCATAAGCGTAGATAAGGGTCTCCCAGAAGTCCAGGGAGGCTGAACTAAGCCAGAGAGAGATGGCCATTTTGGCAACAACAACCAAGGTTGCCTCTCTATCCTCTCTTCTCCAATCTCTCTCAACTAGCTTGCTGTTTTCATTCCTTGTCTTGATTCTCTCATGGCTTTTCTTACATGGGGCCCTTGTAGCTGCCCCAGCTTTCATATCTGTGATCTTTCCTCTCTTGGGTGAAATGCTGAGGGAGGATTGCTTATATTTTTGAGCTAGGCCTTGAGTCACAGGTTATTGCCCAAGCTGGACTGCTTGGGGGAAGGGAATGCCAATGACAGAGTCAGATTCTAGAGGATCTTGCATTTCATTGTACTTTATCATCCTCGAGGCTACACATTAAAGAGCGAAGGACAATTGACATACTTAGTATGAAAATTAAATAATCAGATTTGCAGTCAAATAATACATTTCATGGTGGGGATGGGGAGGCTCATGGCACAGGGTACAACTAGGGCAGGCATCTCAACACACAGCTAATTAATCTGTTCTATTTCTCAAGTATTTTTGGTGTTAGACAATGGGGGTTCATAGGCAAAAAAAAAAAAAAAAACCTACAAATGCAGTTTCCTAGCACACATTTCTATGTCTTCATATGATAATGTCTGTGGTTTTACTTGGTGCATCATTGGTATCTTTCTTGACAATTGCCTAATTCTGTTGAGTATACATATAGTTATGAGGCCAGAAAGTTGATTCTGGAAAAATCCCATAATAAGTGAATAGTCCAGCTGTAGAATAAATGGCATTCTTATCTTTGTAAACTCACAATCTGTTTATAGTTTTACCTGGATCAGTAGATTTGAGGTAGTTGCTCTATGCTTGAAAGGCTAACTCCAAGTGCATTTGACTGCTTATGAGGCAAGAACACATTCATTCATTCTGTCAGGCATTTATTTGCCCTTTTCATTCAAAATTTTTTAGTGTGTTCTTGTCCCAGGGGCAGGAGATATTGAGATGACGTAAGACACTGTTCTGAGGGAACCCTCCATTTGGTAGGAAAAACAGACATGGGAAATATGACATGTCATCTTGAAGGGATGGTGTTTGTAAGTGGTGGGAATATAGGTTATTAGAAGGAACGGGGGAAGGGAATGCCAATGACACGAGTCAGATTCTAGAGGATCTTACATTTCATTGTACTTTATCATCCTCGAGGCTAGACATTAAAGGACGATTGACAGTCTCAGGATGAAAATTAAATAATCAGATTTGCAGTCAGATAATACATTTCATGTTGTGGAGGATAGGTAGAGATGTGTGTTAAGGAGCCTATTTAGAGATTTATCGTAGTGATTGAGATGACAGAAAAAGATGGCCTAAACTAAGGCATTAACAATGGGGAAGTCTAGGAGACATGGAAAGAAAGAAATGTGGCAGTATATATAGGTAAGATTAACCTTCATTTGAAATGCAAAGGAGTTATTTGATAGAAAAACTTCTCGTGGGGCTGGGATTGTGGCTCAGAGGTAGAATGCTCGCCTACCATGCATGAAGTACTGGATTCAATCCTCAGCACCACATAAATGTAAAATAAAAGATATTGTGTCCATCTAAAACTTAAAAAAAAATAAATATTTAAATAAAAAGAAAAAACTTCTCGTTATTGCTGGGTGTTTGGTGCACACCTGTAATCCCAGCAACTCTGGAGGCTGAGACAGGAGGATCTCAAGTTCAAAGCCAACCTCAGCAATGGTGAGGCACTAAGCAACTCTGTGAGACATTCCTTTATGTCAGGTGCATCTCACAGGCCCACAATATGAGTGACTGGATTGGTTACATGGTAGGTTGTATGATCTAGTGGCTCTGTTAAATAATGGGAATCAGCTTAGTCATGTAATAGCACTACTTTGTCTTTCTTTTCAGCTTGAAAGATGATGACAGTGGGGACCACGATCAGAATGAAGAAAACAGCACACAGAAAGATGGTGAGAAGGAAAAAACAGAGCGAGACAAGAGCCAGAGCAGTAGCAAGAGGAAGGTGCGGTTTGTGCTGCGTAGGCCTAGTTGCCTCTGGATGAGTCGTGTTTGTCTTGTGGAGTCTTGTTTATTTGGAAGACATCAGGTTAACGTTGTAGTACCCTGTTTTGTAATATCTGGTAAAAGAAAAAAAATTGTGAATTCACTGAAAATATCAATGATTGGGACTTAGAACATTCCTCTTGCCATATCTTGAGGTGCTGTCTGGCTTACAGAATTCACCTCGCTCCCCTTGAGCAAGCCCAGTTGTTGCACTCAGCTAGCTAGTCTGCTGGCTGCTTCAGAAGTTGGCGTTCAGTTCTTCAAATTGTATGCATCCCTCCAAACTTTAGACTTTGTAGTCAGTAATAGTCTGAATTGAAAATGACATGGAAAAGAAAAAGTTTAGGGAATGAGAGCTAGGTGGATCAGCTTTTTCCTTGAGATATCAAGGCAGTCATTAATATATTTATTCTACAGTATTGCATACCTCCAAGTGCAAGCATTTTCTGCTAGGCATTATGAAGACATGAAGGTGAATGAGACTGTGGATTGAAGGGCTCACATTTAATAACAGTAATAAAAGTGACACTGTCTGAGCACTTTACATATACATTCATTGGACCCTCTCAGCAGCTGTTTCAGATGGCCATTATTAATTTCCCCATTTTGCAAGTGAGAAACCGAGGTACAAGCAGATTAAACAACTTGCCACTCTTAAATGATAAGAGTATTCTGGAGGAGAGTGCTTGGACCAGGCATAACAAATATAAATGCCTGTGATATATAGGTGGAAAGTCATAAGAGCCATAAGAACACGGGTAAAGTGTTAATAGGAGTTCAGAGTCGGTTAACCACTAGAAAAATTTATTTATTTATATTTGGTGCTGAGAATCGAACCCAGTGCCTCACACATGCCAGGCAAGCGCTCTACCACTGAGCTATAACCCCAACCTTATGTTCTTTTTTAATTGTGAAAGTAGTAGGGAATAACACTGTTAAATGTTTCAGAGTTGCAGAGCGCATGACAAATGCCTAGGGCGAACCCACCCTTTTTTACTTTCCAGGCTGTTGTTCCTGGACCAGCAGAGCATCCCCTGCAGTACAACTATACATTCTGGTACTCCAGGAGGACCCCAGGCCGTCCCACCAGCTCTCAGAGCTATGAACAGAATATCAAGCAGATTGGCACCTTTGCCTCTGTAAGTACTTAGTGGTTTAATGGAGTGTGCCTTGGCAGAATGCTCATGCCTGTGTTTATGTACCTTCCTAGTAACTTGTTTAACATTCTACTTTCCTTACTTGACTAACCTGAGTCTCCAAGGTTAGACTTGTTTGTTCTTAGGTTTCTCGTTAGACATCCACAGTTAACTGTAGAAGGGTATAATACAAAAAAATTTTTTTTTTCCTTTTGTTTGTGGTACAGGGATTGAACTCAAGGATGATCTACCACTTAGCCACACCCACAGCCCATTTATCTATCTATTTATTTATTTATTTATTTGAGACGGGGTTTTGTTAAGTTGTCCAGGCTGTCCTTGGATTTGTGATCCTCCTGCCTCAATCTCTGAAATTGCTGGGATTATAGGCTGTGCTGCTATGCACATCTGACAGGTTTGTTTGTTTGTTTAACCGACGGGTGTTTTAACCATTGAGTCACATCCCCAGCCTTTTTATTTTTATTTTTTGATTTTTGAGACAAGGTCTTGTTAAGTTGCTCATGGCCTTGCTAAGTTGCTGAGGCTGGTTTTGAACTTGTGATCCTTCTGCCCTGGCCTCCCAAGTTGCTGGGATTACAGGTGTGAGCCACCATGCCTGGCTGCAGCTGACAGTTTTTTGTTTTTTGTTTTTTGGTTTTTTTTAAGTAGATATATTTGTTGAGTCCTTACATGCAGAGTGTAATTGGAGGACACAAAATTTTAAACTACATGGTCTTCATCCTCACAAACTTAGACAATAAATTTGAAAGCAAAGTTTGAAAGTTTTTTTTTTTTTTTTGTATTTAAGAGCTTTCTATTAGGATTTAGCCATGAGAGTAACTGTTGTAAAGTAGCATCTTTTTCCTGTGTTTAAAAAGAAAATGAAATCTCTAATAATTGTTTTTGTTGGTACCATCAGAATAGTGTCCAGGTTCTGTTTTATTTCCCTCCCAGGTGACTAGATTTGTGAACTTGGAGGTACTAACTGAAGCTAACGGGAGTCTGTTCAACAAAGACTATTACACACTAACTGTGTGCTGTACATTCAATCTGTGAACAGAAGCAGATGCAGGATATGTCACTTTGTTAAACTTACTGACATATTTGTCCTGTTTCAAATGTAGAACTGGAAAAGAATACTGTAATTGTTAACATTGCAATAAGGCATGACATTGTTGTGTCTAATATGCTAAGACACAATAAATAATAGGACTTTATGTAATTTCCTTCAATCATTAAAATAGCCCTATGGGATTAGTGATATTATCCATATTTTGCAAATGAGGAAAGTGAGATCTGGATAAAGTATCTGTTATGAGGTCTCAAGTCCTCTGCTACTGAATTGATTAAGTGGGAGCCACTATTGAAACTCAATTCAGGTAGATATGAAGGGAAGATTTCACAGTATACCAAAAAGAAGGCCAAAGGCTACAATTTAAAATTGTTCTCATTAGCCAAACTTTATTTTTGTATTTATTATTAGTCAGATATACCTATTTAACTGGTAATAAATTGTCTCTTGAATGTGAGATCAACAATATTGCTATGCTGAGGTGATAGAATTCAGCCCTATGCAAATGACTTGTTTGGTGCTGCCTCATCACTGGTAAATTTGGGCTTGTTTGAAATATTACAAATAGCTTGTACACTGGTGCATATTTGGTTCAAGAAATATTTTTTAAGGGGCTGAGGATGTGGTTCAGTGGTAGAGTGCTTGCTGGGCATGCAAGGGTTCAATTCCTAGTATCACAGAGCTGGAAAACACTTCATTGAATGAACTCAAGACCTTAATAATGTTCTAAAAAGAATTATGGAGCCTGTTCTTGGGGCATGTCTGGGATTTTTTTTTTTTTTTTTTTTTTTTT